ATAGAACAAGGACTTGACTCACCAGATAAACAAAAAAGATTTTTTTTATATATAAAATTAAGCATATACTTCTCGAATACATACCTATGCCGTTACCTTATACTCACGTCCGAGTAACATAGACCCGGGCGACCTTAGAATAGTAAATCTGTTTTAAATGTCCATACAATATTACTAGAACGGTAGAACAATTCAAAGTCGTTCGCAATAAATTTTGTTGCTTGAATTGCAGTTTAATATGATAATCGAAGACAGTATACAATATTATGTGCATGAGTTTTATATGCATTTCCTTTGGTTAATTTTAATCTTTGAATGATCCCCAGAAAAATTAGCTGAAGAGCTCCTTCAGATGTTCATGTTGGAACTAAGTTTGAAGGTAAATGGAATAGCCTTTTATTATTCTACTTCACCCTTGATATACTCCGTTGGTGTCCGGTGTGAGCTCGTATACAAGTATGTGTCTGGCACATGTATTGTCACTTTTTTCTAAGATTTTTTTTTGTTTACTATAAGAATATTTAGGGGTCATATTCTCATAGCTATGCAATGTCAAACACGAGTACTTCAAGAAAGATAAAGAGTCAAAACAACTTATTTGACATGTGTTTTGGTTTTTTCTATATGTTGTGATAACCAACGTCTATGTCTGATACATATCTAAATATGCATACAGGATATGATATTTTGAAGATCTTTCAAATACATAAAAAATTTAGTAGTATATCTTAGTTGGAAACATGTTCATACCTGCCACTTATATCAAAATTCGAGTAACATAAGTTTCTTTGTTAATGTTTCTGTCATTTATTCCTCTCATTCGCTCTTGTTTCATGTAGCGATTGCTTGTATTGGACTTAAGTCCATTAGCTGTGAAGTTTCACAGGGCAATCAGTTCTGCTGGTCTGACAAGCTTTACCCTGGAGAATTTGGTGATCTCAAAGTATGCAACTTGTATTCCGATGAAACTTTCGAGCCAGTCCATCCACGATTGAAGGACGGAAAATCCGATATGCCAACTTTTCAAGGCAACCGTCAGCCAGGCAATGAAATTTTGCAGGTTCTGGTTCATTATCATTCATATTTTATGTTATTCCGGCTTTTTTTTCCCTAGAGGTACTTGTGTATGACCACCTTGGAACATCGGTATAGACATATGATCTTCCACGGATTCTTTTAAATCCATAAAAAAATGTAAAAATAATTGAACATACTCGTGTTAGATGCTCTTGTCCTACACTTGTACTTAAATCCAAGTAAAAACGCATTTCAAATTCATGATGTGGCTATCTTCATGATGGAACCTAGCTAAATTTTCGATGTTCTTTTGTTGTATATTTTGCATTTGGCATAATTACTCAAGCACAAGTATTTTTTTTATAGAAGTTGGAGGCCTCATTAAAAACTCCCTTCGTATTCGTCCACATACTAAGAAGTATGTTAACGAACATTGGAAGGAAGAAAAGAGTACCTCATAGTTTATTAATAATAGTATCGAATACATATGGAAACACAGAATATTCTCGAATGGAGAAATACACCATTACAACAAACCAAAACACCTAAAACTCTCACTTCCTCAACCAGAAAATCCCACCGACAATCATCCTTTTTCTAATTTACACCTCCAGCAAAAAGAACAAAACAACGCAAAAGAATAAAACACAAAATAAAACCAACACCTGCAACCATTAAACTAAATCAAAGCTCCAATTGAAGAAAAAAGATCTAATGAGTATCGACTTCGTCATGGAATCAAGAATTTGGTTTGAAGGAAGGCTCAATTTCATGCACCATGATTTTGAATGAGTTAGCACCGACCTTCAACTCCAACGACTCGTCAATTCTCAAATTTGCCTTTGTGAGGATTTGAATTTTCGCCCGATCAAAAGATGATGGTGATTGACAGCTTTCGTCGATTGCTAATAAATTACCCACTTGTCTGCAATGTTTTTGAAAGTATCCCAATTCCAAGCGTGAAAAAGAACTCCCTCGCAAACTAACCACACTCGACGACATTCCACCAGACTTTCTGACCAGGCTTCAACTCTGGAGAACCACTTAGTGAGAGTTTGTGATTCATCATTCTTCACACTTCTCAATGAAGAAGAGTCTTCAAAAATCATAAGTACCGTATTTCCAACAGCTCTCATTAATGAGAAACCAGTGAGTCCATTGGCTTGCATTTGACTAGCGAGATTATCGATTTTGATAAAGTCCTTGCACCAACCCACTAACATTTACTCAACATGTGAAGTTTATCCTCGTACATAACACCTTCAACTTCACTATGAATATTTCTCGAAACAACTTCCATCCTCGATTTGTGGTAAATAGTTGTAGAGGTCTTTCTCCAAAAAGAATGTCGAGGTTTAAATTTAGCCAAAGAAACACTAATTTTGCTTCGTCAATATAGAGTCATTCATTTATGAGATTGTTTTCCTTGCTTCTTAGATTTTTGCAAAATTGATGAACCCAAAACGAACCCCTTTTGAATTTCTTTTGTTAGGAATGAAAGCATCAATAACCGGACCGTGGGTGCAAAAAAAATCCAAACCTCTTCCAATGGATTTTCTCTGGTAAATTTTTGATAAATAACGTGTAGCAACCACTTTGTACCCATTACGGATTTTCGGTTGGCCTTCCTTCCACCAATTGTGAAACTCGATTCTCCTCCTTGCATCTTCAGTCGACTTTTCATCAGAATACCCCTTCGTATGCATTTCCCCACTTGATCTCGACTTAACCTTACCCCTTCTATCTACATCGCTCAACTACTGCTTTCGATTACCACCATTAACATTTTCCTTCTCAACAGGTGTATCCCTCATTCAAGGCCTCTGCGAGTTTTTGGAGACGTTCACGATTTTTCGACTGTGATTGGATAACTTGTAGCCTTCATCTTTGAGCCAGAACTCTCGGGCAGAACCATAAACCGAAGTCTGGCCTCTCCGTTGGCAAAACCCAAAGGTGAGAAGGCCTTGTAATAACCTCGGAACCAACCTACCTCGGATCCGAGACGATCCAGCGGCTACCGAAGGAGAAAACATTATAAGTCGAACTGATGTCGTCCGATTTAAGGAGAAGGAACCAAGCTCAGAACTGAATTACTGTAGCGGGAATAGTAACTGTCGACGGCGGCAGAATTGTAGAAACACTCGGCTTAGGTTCTCTGTGGAAGCCTATCCTTGATGCTGGCGTCGAAGCGAGCAAACCTGGAAATCCCGGTGTTTAACTCGGAAGAGAAGAACGGAAATTTGGAGATAGGTTTGGGTTAGCAGTGAAATGGAGGTGAAGGTTGCGTCGGTCGGTGGTGGATAATATTTTCACAAAGCAACAGCTTGTTTCTTCAGGAAAAGCGGCTGGCGGAATCAACAATCTTCCTCTAGATCTACTCCGATCTAGTTCGATTTTGAAAAAACTGCGTCCGATCCATGCTTGGGGTGAAGAGAGGATTCAAATGGTATATTTTCCTTCTTTTTTCGATGCAGGGCGACGGTCGGAGACTATTGATGGTGACTGTCGCGGCAGTGGCTGACCACTGAGTTATGAAAAGAGTGACGCCGGGGAGAGTGTATGGGGTTTTCAAAGAAAGAAATTTTTGAAATATCCTGGAATCTAGTGAGCAGGAGCTTCTCTCACTAGAAGTCAAAAAAGCGTCCCACTCAAGCACAAGTATCAGGAATGTTCAATTTTTCATGTATTTTATGAGTCATTGGAGGATCATATGCATTTGCCCATGACTGAATATGCGTTGGAAACAAATATCAAAGACGAGTACAAAAAGAAATTATCTCAGAATATCATAGGATAACAAAACCAGCTTTATAGCCATAATTAAGTATTAAAGCTACCATGTATGCTAATCTTTGTAGTTCTCTTTACAGGTTTATATTACAACCTGGCTTGCGGAGGTGAACATAGATGTTCATAGGTATATTTTAAATTTGAGTAAATTTTCCATTATTGTTCTTGCACACACTCTTCACTTGAACCAACTGCATTTTTTTTGTCTGTATTTGATGCATGTTCGGAATTGATCCTATAAGGATATTATCATTACAAGAAAAATCTTCAAAAAAGTTGAACAAGTTTCGAATAATCACCTATATCAGCACTCAATCTTGAGTCCTAGTATACAGTTCTGAACCTGTGAACAAGATATGTCTTTGTGCACAAGTTTTGGTAATCTGTTTTTTGTTTTTTCTTACAGGGTGGATGAAATATTTGCAATGATTGGCGAGGAAATTCATGTTTCTCTCTCGTAAATTTCTCCTAATCATGAATATGTGCTTATTTAGTGTGGTACTGACTGTGATTTCTGTAATTATGTATGATATAAATGGTTCTAATAAATCATTTCAGATCTCAGGTTGGCTCAGATTCAGATTATTTCAAGACAATTGCCGTTACAAGTTTACACATTGTTTGTCTTTCGGTGAAGATTGATTTTTGAATTCAACTCTTATATAACATAATTACATGACATGCATGCATACAACCGTCGGAAACCAAAATGGTTAATCTGAACAGTAATTCCTCAGGAATTGACCGCACTCAGTGCCGTCGTTAGGCCTGAGACCTGAGCAGAAGGGGCACCTGCCCAGGGCCCACAATTATAAAATTAATTTTTTTTTATAATTGTAGATTTAGTTATATTTCTTTTGGTATAACGTTAGAAATAACCTTAAATTTGATTAAATAATCACTTTGATCCTTATTTTTTTAGAACAATTATCTCCTAGCTTATAACAAAAAGACCCCTTTATAGATAAAATTATTATTTAACAAACGGTTAACATTCTAAAATAAGAGTCCTTTTAGCCTAAAATGAAATGTCATGGGTCAAAATACTCTAGAAAAAAAGAAAGAGGGATAAAATATATATTCAGTCAAACATTATCTTTTTACCATAAAATAAAAATTAATCTGTGCAGCAATTTTTGTTTTCTTTTTTGAGATTGTGCTTCAATTCTGATCAGAATAAATTGGAGCATAGAAGAGAAATATGAGGTTGGATAAGAAAAGCAGCTGGAGCCCCAAAAATGGGAAAAATCAATCAACTTAGAATTATGATCAAAGTGTGAGACATTGTACCCTGTCGGGGAGATTTCCAGGCATTGGTAGAGCAATAACGTATCTTTGGCCAAAGAATTTGTGCGCCCCATTTGCTTGACCCCTGCTATGGAACTTGGCCAAGCGAGTGATGACTGACACCTTCTCTTGATCCTGACATTCCAATCTTAAGTCTGAGACCGAGGCTCTCTTGACCAGACTGCTTAAACAAAGTAAATATTAGAAGGCAATACGATCGGTGAAAACGTGACAACTTAGAGATGCAATCTTAGCCTAGACTAGCAATATTAGAGCTAAGAACAACACAGAGTTACCAGGTTTAGCCCCAAGCAAAATCTTATTTCTAGAGTAAAGAAAATCATGAACCATATCGAATTCTGAAATGACAGATATATAAGACCAGCCATGGCTGAATCTGGGAATATACTGAAATTCAAAGATGGATGGAAGTGATAAAGAATCCCACTGGTTAAAAATAAATAAATAAAGCAATAAAAAACTCTCTTTAAAGTCTATTAAATAAAGCAAAATAACTGTTGCAAAAAAATAAAAGTTTGCATCCTCCACAGGATTATTAAGCCTATGCAGGTAAACAATTAACCAAAGGGAAAATTAATACTATCCATGGATCTAACAAGTATATCCCGAGTGACTTTGCTTGGATAAAAGCCAAACCAACCTTGTCAGTTGTTGCGAATAAATTAACTGATACATGACAGCTTAAGACACCCATGAGATGACAAAATAATCAAACTGAATGAGTGATGTTATGGATGAATGTATTGGTAAAAATAGATGCAAGTTACCTCCGTAAACTGTTTTCCAGCATCTTTGCTCTGTCGATAAACCCTTCTGCAGTCTTCAAGATGGATTGATTTCTCTGCTCCCTCTGCTTTTCAGAGAGACTAAAATGGAATGGAGAAACAAAAGTCATTAGTAAGATAGTAGTATGCTAACAATAATGATCTCAAATGAGATCCAGTAAAAGCAGGCTCGAGGATTCAAAAAACGATGTATTTACATGCTTCCACTGAGAGGAGGAAAAGCTGTGTCACTTTCAGTTATATACGCCATGCTGCATGTATCTCCAAGACTGATCTGGCAACAAAATAGGCCAGAGTATCATAGTTTTTTCTGGCATCTGCCAAAAGAACCACCCTTGGAGGAGCGCAAAGTAGTTGCTGCAAAAGCTGTGTTGTCAAAACAAGCCTTCTTTTTGATCTAAGCACTGGTGGCCAATCTTTAATCATTTCAGGTTCATCCTTGAGCTGCAATTAAGATCAATGTCTGTAAGCTGAGAACTATCAGAGATTGTAAGAAGGAAAATCAAGCATTCAAATACAGTTGACACACAACACACCTTCTCAATCAACCGATTTGCTGCATGCGTCCATTCTACTTCTGCCGCACTGCAACCAACAAATATTTCCAAGAAGAGAAAAGAGCAATTAGTTTTAGCATTTTAGTAATTATCATTCAGAAAGGTTGTAGCCCTTTGGATCATTGATACATAATGTTAAAAGGATTGCAGCAAATGGGATAATGATTCCACTCACCTGATGTTCTGTGGCCTTTGGGAACCCTGTGTCACTTCTCTATGCCATGGTAGAAACTCAAGTGTCATTATCTTGCGCTTCATTGCTCTTGCAGCCACCAAATTCTGACTTGCGTTATCAGGTGGCAGTGAGTGGGGGGAGATATATTCAGTTTCTGTTGGCATAAAGTTTGAACTTTGCCGCACTTTATCCAGTGGACCAGCATCATGCTCACTTGTATGAACATGCAAACTGTTGGAGGCCTGACCAACAATGAATGCTTTTTCTGTGGCGTTCATCATGTCAACTTTTTGAGTATCATATACGGGCAACATTTTCCCATTTTTAATTGCCCCATACCGATCAAACCAAGATGGAGCCATCTGGGGACTGATCTGAGCGTTGTCACTCCTTATATTAGCAGCTGAATTATCAGAATTGGAGAAATGCTTGGAATCGTTCTGAACAAATGCCAGCATATTAGCGGATAACTGTGTCTCACAGTTATCTCCAGCATTTGGTAAAGAGCTTGGCACCTTAGAATCTCCAGAAGGTGCTAAAGGATGGTTATCCTGTGCATCTCTCATCAGAGCATTGGATCCATAAGATAATTGCTCTGCATCTTGGGAACACACCTGCTGAGATTCCAAACTTGAGTCTGAAGATGGACCTTTAAATCTTTTAACACTCCTATTACTTGGATCACCCTCTATATCGTTCATTGCCTGCCCTCGTGCACAACATTATTTGGTCTTGAATAATAACCAAAACCTTCAATATCTCTTTGCATGTTTGCAGAATTTTGGCTGGCATTATTCTCTGGCAATACCAACTTATGGGTATTGGACATACTTAAAGGTTTAGAGTTCAGCAACGAGGCATTTGGAAAGTTGTTATCAGCCCAAGCTGACTGCTTTTTGGTGCCATCGTTGACAGTTGATGCAGGCATGTTCCCGCTTGGAGGTTCACAATTCTGCAAATCCGAACCACTCCACTGTTCCTGCACCCCTATATCATTACTGGATGTTTCTGTTACAGCAGACATCATAAGAGTACTCCAAATCCCACTTTGCAGAGAGGGAAATCCCCTTAAAGATCCGTACCATCCAACTCTGAACCCATGTTGGTGCTCTTTCCCAATATATCCCACATTTGTCATCTGAGCCAAACAAAATCTTTTCCTCAATTGGATCCAGCGTAGCCACAGTCTGGGAGAGGGGAACCTGAATTGCTGACTTCTTCAGGGGTGTTTCTGGAGGACTGCAATGCGCTTGCATCTGAGGAGACTCCAGCATCACTACAGTTTTCGGCTGGATAACCATTTGCTGCAAGTTTTCTGAATGAAATTCACTATTTAAACCTTGACCAGCCACATCCCCAAATACATTGTTATCCTGCTCACACTGTCTAGAAACCGAAGTTCCATCTTGCAAGCCAACTTGATCTGAAAACATATATTGATTATCCAGAAAGGAATGACTGCCGGCTGGAACCTGCTGCATCAAAGGCTTATCCATTTGAACAGAAGAATATTGATACGCATTTCCTCTTGCACCACTTGTAGAAATCCCATAAAATGATTCATCAACTTGTTGAGGAACCATACCCATCAAACACATCTGACCTTTTCCAGGAGAAAACATACCAGAGGATCCTCCCATGGCCGGAGAGGCACCATGCTGCATACAATTTGCATTTTGCGTCATGCGCTCAGGCTGCCAGGAATAACTTGAAGCATCACGGACAGGAGCACCATCAATTGGAGCAGAAGAAAGGCTATCTGATTCCTCTTTAACAGAGGAAACCTGATTTGCAGAGCTCAATTGCCTTGCTTCTGGAAACTGAAACTGTGGCTTTGGAAGTAGGTGTCTCTGTAATTCTTGCATTATAGCATGTTGCTGTAAGAGCTGCATGTCAGTCATCCCAGATTGCTGCCTTGGCAAAGGTTGGATCATGCTAGGATCCTTTCCACTAAATTGTTGTTGCCTTCCAATAAGATCATAATTTATGGGAGATTCAGTTGATTCCAACCTCGACGAGCCATTCCTAGGAAAATCAGGGCCGTTTCCTATTGGTGAATCAAGACTTGATGAGCCTGTAGGTGCTGCATCGAGCCCCAATACATTTGTTTCATTCTCCTTGCCTGGAAAGACTCGTGCCCTTGCTGATAGCCGTTTGCAATTGCTGACTGATTTTGCAATTGGCTTCTGAAATTTTCAGGCCTCAAATCTGATTGAGTGAAGTTCACCTCATGCTGCAGCCTTGATGACTGACTACTATGTCCTCTGTCAGACTCTGCTAATGCCAACAGAAAATATAATAATGTTGACTAAACAGTAAAAACATGTAATGGCAGTGGACTAAAATATCTCAGTACAATAGTAGTAGGACCAGTGTGTTCAGAAACTAAAACAACCAAGATGCCTTAATTATTACCTAATTGATGAGCACTTAAATTCTTCAAACTGGAAACAAGAGGCCCACCAACTTGTCCCTGGCTTCTAACCCACGGATTGTTACTTAAACCAGGCCAGCTACTATCAATTACCTGTGATTGCAGCTGGCCATGGGAAAAACTCTCTTGGCCAAGGAAATTACGGATCCTATCTCCAACTTCGTTGCCAGGCATAGATAATCCAAGCCAAAAACATTCAGAAGCTAAACTTTAAAAATTACTACCTACAAGAAATTAGAATTAAATTAAAGTTTTCACATTCCTGAAATTCCATACAGAGCAGACAATCATATGAATCCCTCGTTAGATAAAATTGACATTAGAAACAAAGCCAACATTTACAGTTTAGTATTTTCTCACTACATCAAGTTGTTGTATGAAAGCTAAAGGCCCCGTTTTTCTTTTGTCTTCTAACGAATTTATGGGGCATCCTCAATAGTCAACATGAAAACCAAGCTTTATATAGGTCAAATTTAATTGAAGGTAGAGTTCATTAAATCACTAAATTCAGATTTAAATATGAGAAACGCAGTTTAGCGAACCAAATAAATAACGCTACGAACTGTATAAAGCTACTAATAGAATCAAGTGAGAATCAGCCAACAGAAAAAGAAAAGACAGCCAGCAGCCCCACCCATTAACAGAAAAAAAAAGAGCATCAAAGACTACCATAGCAAGCTCAATGAACTCCACATACCATAAAAAAAAAAAAAAGGAAAGGAGCATTGAAGCAGCAGCCAAAGCAACTGCAAAATGATAGAAACATAAATACACCAATTAATGAGAAATTTAAGAAACCAAAGTAAAGATAAAGACGAATAAATTAGCATTAAAAAATGTTTATAACCTTTCAGAAAGCCGTAAGAAAAGAACTATCATAATTTCAGCTCAATTTTTAAACTGTGCAATTGCTCAAAATAAAATTCCCCAGCATCCTCCATTTTCTAGGCAACCAAACAGACGCTAACACTAAAAAATAATGTAAAAATACCAAAAATTGAAACCAATACAACAAAATACCGAAGCACCTACAAATAACATAACTGCCCAGCTCTAGAATTCCTGAGCCCTAACGAAGATTCAGCGTCTCGAGGAGAAACATGGAGAAGTGGACTTACAGCAACGTAGTGAAAGCCTTTGAAATTGTGACCAAAAGAATAGCTCGAAAGCGAAAGGGACTTATTTTTTAGCTCGATGAGGAAGATAAACTGAGTTCGATTAGTGCTAGTGTTTCAACGATCAGTGAGGGCGGAGTAGCAAAATTGGGGTTTTTGATCCGAAGGCTAGGTTTGGTGTAAACGAAGCTGAGGTTTGGAGTCGAAGCTGAAAGAGAGAGTGTAACTATAAATTAAAGGATAAAACATCATTTAATCCCTAAACTTAATAATCTTTCCAATTTGATCCCTTAACCTTTTTTTCAGATTAATCTTAAGCTTGATATATATTTCTTCATTTTTGATCAACTTAATAATGCTTCTGATGAATGTTAGTCCGGTTTTATGAAATGCATCAAGATTTAGAGGACAAAATCAACATATAAAATGGAAAACAAAATTTGTTCAGACAACAGAACAATAATATGACAACAAATCCACCATTAAAGAACAAAGGTTGATCTCAAAGTTCAGACTTTTATTTCATGCCCTTTTGGCAAATTCGACAGTTTCATACTCTTCTTCATCTCTTGTGTTCTCAGTCCGTGCATCATTCCCCACATAATCTCCTCCTGTTTCTACTTTGAACCCGATATCTTTACCGCCACCGAATCCGGCTGAACCACGGTGGAAAAACTATCACCGCCGATGCCACTAGCAGCGGCATTGAAATTCCCAGCATTGTACTTGTTTTGAACAGATTGATCAGAATTGCTTCGGTAGCTACCACCAGTGCCATAATTGTTACCACCACCATAACTTCCTTGGACTCCATAGCCACTTCCACCACCACCAGTGTTACCATATCCAACATTACCACCACCAAATCCCATTTGTTTACCTCCGAATCTGGCTGAGCCGCTGGTGGCGAAACCATCACCATCTATGTTGCCAGAGACGGCATTGAGATTACCACCATCGTACTTGTTTGGACCAGATTGTTCAGAACTGCTTCCGTAGCTACCATCAGTGTCATACCTGTTACCACCACCATAACTTCCTAGGCCTTCATAACCACTACCACCTCCACCAGTGTTACCATATCCAACATTACCGCCACCGAACTCGGTTGAACCACTGGTGGGAAAACTGTCACCGGCGACAGCATTGAGATTCCCACCATCATACCTGTTTGGACCAGATTGATCAGAATTGCTTCCATAGCTACCACCACTATAACTTCCTTGGCCTCCACAACCACCAGTCTTGCCATATTCAACATTACCACCACCGAATCCCATTTGGTTACCTCTGAATCTGGTTGAACCACTGGTAGCAAAACTATCACCGCCAGTGCCACCGGCGGCAGCATTGAACCCACCATCATACTTGTTTGGAGCAGATTGATCAAAGTTGCTTCCATAGCTACTACCAGTGCCATACTTGTTACCACCACCATAGCTTCCTTGGCCTCCATAACCACTACCATCGCCGCCAATGTTACCATATCCAACATTACCACCATCGAATCCCATTTGGGTACCTCCGAATCCGGCTGAACCACTAGTGGAAAATTTATCCCCACCAATATCACTGGCAGCAGCATTGAGATTCCCACCATCGTACTGGTTTAGACCAGATTGATCAGAATTGCTTCCATAGCTACCACCAGTGCCATAGTTGTTACCACCACCATAAGTTCCTTGGCCTCCATAACCACTACCACCACCACCAGTCTTCCCATATCCAACATTAACGCCACCGATCCCATTTGGTTACCTCCAAATCCAACTAAACCACTGGTGGAAAAACTATCACCACCAATGTCGCCAGCGGGAGCATTGAACCCACCATCGTACTTGTTTGGACCAGATTGAACAGAGTTGCTTCTGTAGCTAACAGCAGCACCATTCTTGTTGTCACCAGCATAACTTCCTTGGCCACCATAACCACTATCAACGCTACCAATGTTACCATATCCAACATTACCGCCACCGAATCCCATTTGGTTACCTCCGAATCCGGCTGAACCACTGGTGGCAAAACTATCACCACTTATTTTACCAGCAGCAGCATTGAAATCCCCACCATCGTAGTTGTTTGGACCAGATTGACCCGAACTGCTTCCATAGCTACCACCAGTACCATAGTTGTTACCACCGCCATAACTTCCTTGTCCCCCATAGCCACTATCACCCCCACCAGTGTTACCATATCCAACATTACCTCCATAACTTCCAGAAGAGAAATCATTGTTTCTGGCATAGCCCCCACTATCATCTCCATAGCCACCACTACCGCCATATCCACCGCCACCATAACTGCTATTGAAACCTCCACCTACAAAGTTGCGAGGAGATCTTTCAGCTGCATAGTTTACTCTTACTTGACGGCCATGGAGTTCCTGCAACAAGGATTCACACACAATGACACAAATTCCAGTCAACCAAAAATTCCAACAAATCATCATTATGGATATGACCCTCTAAGAACTCTCCAAATACATGAAATAAATTAGAAAATTTCGAACATACTCATGGTGGACACATAACTATATCCCAAAGTTATCAAAGGCTCAAGGCGCATCGAGGAGCAAAATGTCTTGGAACCTTGAGGCGCAAGGCGCATGAAAGGCGCGGGATTCATGAAGGTGAGGCGCATGATATCCAAAAAATTGTAACACATGTATATATTAATGCAATCAAACTCAAATATCATAGATACCCAATATTAGGCTTCAATAGAATTTATTCTCAAATTCAAAATACCAACCTAACGTCATAAAAGTTATCAACAAGCATAATCAAGTACTAAGTTTAACAAAAACATTCAACATGCAAAAACAAAACATCAAATAAAGTCACTGATAATCATCATCAAACATCAAACTAATCATAGATCAAATTAGTATAATGTAAATTTCAGAATAATTAAATTAGATTTCAAAATAAATAAATTTAATTATTTTAGTAAAATTCAAATAATTTAAGTATACATACTCACAAAACTTTTAAATCATAGATTTATATCCTTCACTTAGTTATTAATCAGTAAGTTAATTAAACATTCTTTTTAATCTATGCTAATACATAGAAGTACCTTTTCTTTCCGAGTTTCATCAGTTAATCGCAATGCATTCCTATTATAGGTTTGCTTAATTTTTAGACTGTCACAAATTTTGATGAGCGGAAAAGAAAATATCAAATACTGACAGATAAATAAACTTAGGTGAAGAAAGGACCAAAAACGGTTACAAAGCTTATTTGTTTGAAACAACATAACGAAAATGGTCGTTCATTTTTGCAGACCATGTATGCATAGAAGAGAAGGCCCTGCAGTAATAATTACAAGGTTTTAAGCCCACATCCGCCTCAATTGCGCCTCGACTGAGCCTCACGCCTCAGAGCCTCGCTGCGCCTAGGTGCGCCTAGGCTACGTGCCTCGCTTCAGTGTTGAAAAAGCCCCGTCCAGTGAGCCTCTGCGCTTTTGCGCCTCAGGCGCGCTTTTTACAACTATGCTATATCCGACACTCACAATCAAGTCCAGTAACATTGATCAAAGTAACATGTAAATCCTAAAAAACTTATATACTTTTATATCATTACCCGTCCATCCAAGGCCTTTATTGCACTGGAGGCATCCTCAGTACAAGTGTAGGAGACAAAGCCGAATCCTTTCGACCTGCCGGTTTCTCGATCCACAATTATTTTTGCTAAAGGAAATATAAAATGAACAGTATTACAAAGTCGAAACTAGCAAACAGCAAAAACAAATCAACAAATAGAAAACCAACAGTGAAACTGTTTTCAGTGCACCAAATAGCATAAGCAATCAGACAGGCAAATTCAAACGAGAGACAAATTATCATTTATCTGTCAGTGCCCCAATAGCATAGGCACCCAGACATAGACGAATTCAAAGTCAGAAACAAATAGTCACTTCTTAAATTAGTTCGCCGATGATACCCAAAACGTTCACACTATCCCGCTTACAACCAAACAGACTTATATTTCATACAAAATGCAGGCACTAAGATTTATGCATCTCGAGACTTTTCAATCCTGTTTATCATGATACTAGCAAGTTGAATTAAGGATACATACCGTCAATAACTTCACCATATTTGCTAAAGGCTTCTCTCAGACTTTGATCATCAGTTTGGTAAGAAATACCTGGCAATTCAAAACAAGATGATGAGAAGCCCCAAGAAAAATGGGGAAATTAAAAGGACTCGACTTCTACAGAGGAAAGTTTGATGGACCTCCAACAAAAAGTTTCGAGCTTGGTGATGTTGACATGCTTCTAAACACTTGAAAGAGTCCCGGCCTCGATGCAGAAAGCAGAGAATTGACCTGCATACTTGTGGTCTGCCTAAGTATACTCCCAAATTTACCTAAGAAAGCCATTGTTTCGACCTAGATAACAAATATATAAACAGATCAGACCCAGAAAATATACAATCACAACACTGACTAAAAGAGCTAGCATTCAAATGTTCGAAAATATATGTACTGCGAATCATCAACACATCAAAACTAGTACAAAAAATAACTTAAACACGATTACACAAACATGGCATGGATATAACAAAATCAATACCAAAAATTAACTTTTTTTTTCAATCACTCCAAAAAAAAAACTCCGATTTCTCATTGATCTTAAGCAACCCAAAAACAAGCAATCCAAAGCAAATCATTTCATGATAATCTGGACTAGAAAAAACAATAATATGGTAATACAATAAAATTTGAAAAAGGAAACACCTTTAGCGATACAAGCACTGAAAGAAACCCTTTGAAAATGAACAGTCAGTGAAACGAGCAGGTTCAAGAAGATACCGAAAATGAGAAAGAAATTTACGGGAAAACAAAACTGAGAGGCTTTTCCGAAGCCTACCCTTCTGCTTTTATGGAACTGAAAACCCTTTTTTCCAGGGTTGTATCTCGAAGTAAAACCCTCAGGGTTTATGTAGACGATGGCAACACGTGTGTGGGTTTCTGGTTGATTCGTGTTGGCCGTTTGATAAATTGAAGACAAAAAGTATTAGAAATCCTTATATTTTTTTAAAAAATTAATGTGATCAACGTATTTTTTTTAAATGTGACTCTTTAACCAACATTTTATTTTCGTTGATCGTTACAGTGTTGGTGTGACAATTCATAATATTGATATGTCAGTTTACTGTGCTGTGTTGGTGTGACAGTTCATAATATTGATATGTCAGTTTACGGTGCTGCATGATAATCTATCAGTATAGTAAACTATCACGTCAACACTGTATAACAGTCAATGACGAAAAACATTAGTCAAAGAGTCATATTAAATTTATTTTCTAAATTGGAAGGCTACATTAAGAGAAGAGATAATAAGAAGGTCACATTGGTTTTTAAAAAAGTATAGGACCTCTTTTGCATTTTTGCCTAAATTGAATGACCATTTTATAACATTTTAAAGTTCAGTGACCAAATTGATTATTTAAGTATAGTTCAATGACTCAAGATGTACTTTACCCCTGATTAATAAACATGTACAAATTAAATAGTTTTTTTGGCGGCTAAAGTTCGTTATTACTATAGATAAAACAGAGACACAAAGTGCCTATACCAATGGCAGGCCCTTCAAATTTTACCTCTCATCCAACATTTTCTCTCTCGTTTTCTCTAGCTTTCTTGCTTCCCAATCTTTTTTATTTTTTATTTTTAACTATCAAGTTTCCTTAATACTCGGTTGATAAAGAGGAGCCTAAACCTCATTTCCTAGTCAATGAAGCGATTCTGATTGGGATTCATTGAAAGGATACCTGTATTTTTAAAATCTTCGAAGTAAGTTTTAAATTGGTTTTTATCATTTGATTTTGTTAGTTCGAATCTTATTCTTTGATTCTATTTGTTTCTTGATGTGGTTTTGAATTTGATTAGAAATTATGGTTAATTAACGATTATATCTGGGAGTTTTGCAACAATTTCTTTCTTGTTCATCATTCGTTTGTGTTTGGTTATGAAAACAGATAGAGCCTGGAAGTTTGATTTATTTTTTGTTTTTGTTGCATATTAAAGCATAATTTTCTGGTTGAATGTGGAAATATGAGTGGAGTTCATGATTCCGACAGTGTTTCAAATACGGACCCGAGTTGCTTCACCGAGTGAAAATCTTTGTGTTTTGACGGGGAAAAAGCCGATACTCATAATATCTCATTCATCGTCATCCGGTGACGATGATCCGGCCACATCGATTCGTCAAACATTGGCTGCAGAACAACCTACCGAAGCCAACACCCCGTCTCATGCCTTTGCTAGAACAACAACTGCAGCTACAAGGGAATGGAGCATGCGTTCTAACGAGTCGTTGTTTAGCCTTCACACGGGGAACCCTTTAGTATCCACACGGGGAACATGAGTTTAATTGGCAGTCCGTTCCCGGTCACTCCACGTAATAATCAGACAGCGACTGAAACTACCGGGCAAAGTGGTGAGTTTTATTTCTATAACGATTCGCCACTTTGTAGTCCGTTGCCGCCAGGCACTCCGTGGAACAATTTGTCAGCAGCTGAATTTGCTAGTCGAGGTGGTGTCATCGGCTTAGACAACGAGTTATTGTTTAGTATCCACACGGGGAACATGAGTTTAATTGGCAGTCCGTTCCCGGTCACTCCACTTAATAATCAGACAGCGACTGAAACTACCAGGCAAAGTGGTGACTCGAAGGGGCCGCCATGGAGATACAGAAGCAGAAGCAACCAACACAACGAGGAAGAAAGAATCTCGGGTTCGTAAGGTCAATGTTCATAAAGAACTCTCTCTTTCCCATCCTGTGTGCGATGTTCATCAAGATCCATCGGATGCAAGTGTCAAATCTTTTGCCTTCCCTATGTAAGCTCTTACTTCTCAACTGAATGTTTCCAATATTCGGTTTTCAGTTTTCCGGCGCGAAACCTTGCACCGACATTGAAGAAATTAAAGATATTAATCGTATTACAGAAACATGCTAATTCATTCTTTTCTTGCAATGAAGATTGATAGGAGATTCAAGTGAAAATGGATCGCCGCCTCAGAGTACAGAGAAACAAAGCCAACAAGAGTGCTCCACCCTAGAACTCCAGACACTTTCAGAACAGCTAACGAAACACAGACAACTCCAGAAACACCGAAGCTAGGATGGCCTAACGAAACACAGACAGTCCTTCGGGAAAGCCAAAGCCTCAGACACCTAAGCAACACGAAATGGTGGACCAAAAAAGGTTAGGTTTTCTCTTGCTGCACTGCCAGTCCAACGTCTGCAACCTCTTGAAGGAACACCCAAGTGCATGTATATATAAACTAGTATTGAATATTCAATTCAAACTCTAAGCTTTGATCCACAATTTCAATTCAAGCTTAAGCTTCTTATGGCTAAGATAACACCGCCTATGCATGACCGATCATTTGATGCTTTCACGGGAATAAATGTATGTAATAAGGAAAGATTTGAGAGCATATCATCAAGAATACAAAATAGTTAATCATTCATACAGATGAAATCTGTGAAGATAAAAAACTTTGAATCTTTAGCTCCTAATCTTTGTTTATACCGTCGAAAATCATCTGGTCACTTTCTCAGCTAATGTCTGAAACAAATAAATTCAAGGCTTTGGGGTCACACCTTGACGACCCCCCTTTCATTCTCATTAGCCCACTGATAACTGTCTCCGTTCCGTCCACCTGGACCTCTGGGTTGACCCGAAACTCACCCTGGTTTCTGAATTCATTCCTGCCATACCCTCCTCCTCCCCATTGATGAAGTTCCCTCGGCCACGGAAACTGTCACTCCGAAACCCCCTTTAACCGATGCATACCTTCCTCTCCCACTGCTAACAACTGCAAAAGGCAGCAGTTTTCTCAAGTATATATTCTATATTATATGCACACTGAACATATTGCAATAGCAAGGTTGAGAACATATTTTTCCTAATTTCGGTACCATCATTGGATGAACTAAAGAGTTCATCTCGGTAAAACAACATTATTAGTAAGAAAAGATGGAAATTTTGAAGAAATTCTGGTGTCAAAGCATTTCTCTGAAATAAATTCGAATTACCTCGAGTACTTGTCCTCTTTTCTTCCACAGCGGCTTGGCGATCGCCAATTGTGATTGGAGAGGCCTGAAATGCCATTCATCACAACGATAAATTCAAAATATGCTCACATAAAACACTGAGCAGAGGTCCATGATTAATATCATAGTTAAGTTTTAAACAAATTTAAGGACAGCTGAGAAAGGGGAAATAAAGGATGATTTTTGTAATTAAACCTTTGATTCTGGACCTTAGAATTGTGGACCAGGTAAAAGTTTTAAAACAAAATTTAAGGACAGCTGAGAAAGGGGAAATAAAGGATGATTTTTGTAATTAAACCTTTGATTCTGGACCTTAGAATTGTGGACCAGGTAATTCACAAGTGTAATATTTAAAATTCCATAATGTGAAGCTTGGTCCACAATGTGTGAACAGGAAGCTAAATTCCATAATGGCAAGCTTTTTATGGGGAGAGGTTCTGAAAGGGATAAAATTCATTGGGTAAATTGGACGACAGTATGTAAATCTCAAGACAATGGAGGTTTAGGAGTGATGGATCTCAATTTAATGAATAAAGCCCTTTTAGGGAAATGGTATTGGATGTTTGCAAACGACAATGGAGGAAGCTGATTTGCAATAAATATAACTTATATAAAAAGTCGTTGGTGTTCAACAATCGAGTACCAGCAAATGCTTCCTGGATTTGGAGATCTGTGCTGAATAATCACTTTAAAACGATTCCTTTGGCTACAGATTTTGCAGCTTTTTCCAATCAAGGTGGGGAATGGCGAGGATATTCGTTTTTGGCATGACATTTGGGTTATGGGAGTCCCCCTCAAAGAAATATTCCCTAGGCTTTTTTCCCTCTCTACTAATCAAAATAGAAGGCTACTTGAGTTTGGTGAATATGGAGTTAGAGGCTGGAATTGGCATGTTGAGATGAGAAGGAATTTGAGTGATAGGGAGGATCAGAGGATTGAATTGTTGACAGCAATCAACAATATTAGTCTTCTGGAAAATTTGAGAGATGGCCTAATTTGGAGAGGAAATGAGGATGGAGTTTACTCAGTTAGATCTTGTATAAATTCTTGTTCCATCGAGATGGGTCCAAATCAGTTTTGGAAAAGTTATATTTGGAAGGGTTTGGTGCCTCCAAGGGTGGAGACTTTCATGTGGCAAGTGGTTCATCAAAAATTGGCTGTAAGGGCTGAACTAATAAGGAGAGGTGTTCAAGGGATAATGGATCCACTGTGTCCTTTATGCAAACAGGAAATAGAAACTGTTTCGCACTTATTTTTTCTCCTGCATTGTTACGTGGAGATTGTGGAATAGATTTATGCATTTTTGGGGAATTTCAGCAGTTATACATGAAAATGCGCTTTGTTTTCTATCAGCTTGGGAGGAACTAGTACCTCATTCAACAATTTGGAGATTATTCTTGGTGTAGTTCTGTGGACGATTTGGAAATGTAGAATGCATTGTTTCGAAAAGGGGATGTTCAATCCGGTTCAGTTTTTTTTCACAGCAAGGTTTCAGATTAGCAGCTTGGTTCCTAGCAAAATTCTCTAATGTTCCTATATCGATGGATTCGCTTTGAATGTAGATGCTGCAGTCAATAGTGATTGGAAGGCAAGTGGTATAGGTGGGATTAAGAGATAGCTTCAGCACAGTTCTTGGAACTTTTTCAGAAGCTGCTGGTCCAGGTCCTCCACTTAATGGAACTAAAGCCATTAAATCAGGCCTAATCTTTTTTGAATCATCTAGCTGGTATTCTAAGGGGCAGTTGATTATTGAGAGTGATAGTAAGAAGTGTGCGGAGTAGT